GCTACATAATTTCCTGTGGAAACGGAAAAATCATACTAGCCTTCAAGGTATTCTAAATGTGAGCTCTTTTGTCCCCCATATCCCTTGTCCCTTGCTATTATTGTAGAGTTATCTTTGGTTACTCCTGTCTTGCTTCTCTCAGTAGTGTTTGCTTGATGTGCAGCTACCTCTGTGGCCACAGGCAGACCTTTTTCTCCTAAAGAAGCATATTCTTCATTACATTTTTGCTATTTCATGCAGCTGGCTTCTATTTGGTTGTATTTCTGATCAAATGTTATAGTGAGATTGTTTAACTACTTAGATAAAAATGTGAAGCATATATAGATTCTTGTTGCTTTTGCTACTGCTACTATATAAACAATTAGTTTAATGTATATTTCATTTTGTTGAGAGGTAGTTTGTTTTCTGTTTGGACTAGAAAACTAGGCCAGGAAAGATCTAATGGCCCACACCATCAAAAATGCAGTCCAGGCAATTGGAGTTTTAATGACTCGCTGCCCACAAAAAAAATCCCTGACTAGCTTTATAATCAAATGTAAAATTCTTTGGAGACATATTGAGCAAAATTTCAAAATTTTTTATCATGACTTTCCTTCTTTGTAGTTCTTATGTTTCTTCCTTCTATCCCCCAAAGATCTAAACCAGGAATTTACTAATTTTTTTTCTTTGCTTTAGTCATTTGTATTCCAGAGAGCACAATAGGGAGAAGGATACAAGATTGATTTTTTTATGTGTGTCCTCTTGAAAGCATAGTCTGGGGCATGACTTTGCGTGAGTGTGTGTGTGTGTGTGGCGGGGGGGCGGGGGGGGGGCAGGGGTGGAGGGTTTACAAAGCAATGGAAGCATACAGCTGATTTTCAGGCACAGGTTGGACTTTTGCGGGTCAAGGCAGACCAGATGAGTAGCTTATCTTGAGGGACGTAAGTAATAGACCAAATATAGAGCAGCTATTTCAGGAATCATGTAGGTCATTTAATTATCCATTATGATTGAGTGGCTAATGCTCTTTTGGCAATTACATGACCTCTCTTATTCTTGAAACCTTTCCAGGCCCTCGTGGGTTGAATGACCCACCAGTCAGTGCTTGCAGACTTCATTCCACCCAGAAGGAAAGGAGATGCTGGAAACTACAGGCATTTAGAAATGGCTGTACTTTCTTTACCGACTACTACCTTGAATGTCCTTTGTACAGCAGTCAGTGATAGGCAGCTGGTTTTGAAGTCAACTTTCCTTCATTGTCTGCAGGAGTAAGAGGTACATTGGTCTTCACAAGAGGGACTTGTGGCAAAACAAACTTTAATACCAAAGTTTGCTATGATGGTATTCACAGGTTCAGTACTATAAGAACAAGTATTATGGTATTAAAACTAGTGTTTGAGATCTGTCAAACCAATCACCATTATCAAACTCTGAAATTAGTGAAGCGATTTTTTTTCCATAACACAGCATAATGGTATTGATGATACCAATAACAGATTTAAAAAGATCATTGATTAAAATTAGCCCAGTTTAAATTGGCTAATTATTATTTATTCAATTAAATAATCAAGCTAAAACATTTAAATAAGAAGGCCACTTTTAAATTGAGATGCTGACCCAGGACAGAATAAATCTAGAACATGTGAATTAATGTTTCTCACTTTTTTTCTGTAGTCAACAACAACAAAAAATCACTCATATTTCCAAAGAAAACTCTTTATTCTTGCTAAATGATAGTAAAACTTGCTTTTTGTAACTGTAGTGATTTATCAAATAATTCTGAAAAAGAAAATAATGTAGATTTCTTATGATTCTTTAGATTAAGAACAGTTATGGTGGAGAAAGTGAACACACCATAATCAAACTATTTGTGGAATTTGACAGAAATACACAAACAAAATTCTTTATGCTTATCAAAATGAAAAATCTAAGGTTCTCTAGTGTTCTAATAATTTAAGATCATAGGCTTAAGAGAAATAATTTAGTTAGGATAATACACAAACATATCATTTAAGTAGAAGCCATTTTCATTGTTTTAGAAAAAATAAACCTACAAGGTTGTCTATCCCTGGGGCAGTAAAATTAACCATGTCCCCAAATAAATTTATTAAACTATTCCTGGTAGAAATCTTAAGCTAATCTGTTTTGGTTTTATTTTCATTTTGATGTTGGGTAATATTAAAGAATGCAAAACTGAAGACATTAATTGGTGTTTATAACCTTTGACCCTTCAGAAATAGAAGGCTTTTCACTTAAATTTTAAATCCTTTAAGCCAATTCTACTTTGCTGTCTGGCTACTTTGAGACCTATGAGAATGCAGTCAGTGTGCATTATATTAGCTGTTTTCTGTTTAAAAACATACTTTCCCTCATTGTACTTTTTAAAATTTTTGTACTGGTGAGGAGCAAAAAATGAGAAAGCAGAATTTACAATAAAAGCAAAAGATATAGCTTAAACTCAAGTATCCTGAATAAGGGGTATAGTTAGTGTACTTGGAATTTGAAGAGGAAAGCAAGGGATATAAAGCAAAATGTGATGTTTGATTTTTTTATTGATAAATTGTTATTCTTTTTTTAATCCTCACCAGAGGATTTTTTCCATTGATTTTAAAATATATTTTTATTTATTTCAGAGAGGAAGGGAAAGCGAGAGAGAGATAGAAACATCAATGATGAGAGAGAATCATTGATCGGCTGCCTCCTGCACACCTCCTACTGGAGATCGAGCCTGCAACCTGGGCATGTGCCCTTGCCTGGAATTGAACCTGGGACCCCTCAGTCTGCAGGCCGACCCTCTATCCATTGAGCCAAACCATCTAGGTAAGGCTCCATTGATTTTTAGAGAGAGTGGAAGGGACAGGGAGAGACAGAGATAGAGAAACATCAGTGTGAGAGAGACACATCGATTGGTTGCCTCCTGCATACCCAGACCAGGGCCAGAATTGAGCCTGCAACCCAGGAACATGCCCTTGATCGGAGTCAAATCTGGGACCTTCTGTCCATGGGCTGACACTCTGCCCACTGAGCCAAACCAGCTAGGGCATAAATTGTTATTCTTTACCCTTCAAGAACTTTGTTGGACCACATTATTATTATTTTTTTCCTTTAAGAACCAGAAGTTTATGAATCAATGAGAGGAGGTGGTATTTATAATTTTAAAGACCTGAAAATTCATTAAGACTGTATAATTAATGGGGAAATCTTTAGGATAATAATTCCATAGAGTATTTTTTACTTTGTTGAAATGATTTTTTAAATAATTTTTTAATTTTTCAATTACAGTTGACATACAATATTATAAAGGTGTAGAGCATAAGTAAATAATAATAAGAAAAAAAACAGAGTGATTAAAAAAGGGAACATTCATAGTAGAAATATATACCTAAACACACATCTTAACCAATCTGGTTTTCAGAAATTTACTTATTTACGTGAGATGATTTTATTTTCATTTCAAAGTGGGTAGACATTTGGGGAATATTAGTTTATCAACTTATAGGAACCTTAAATTTCTTTCACAGTATTGTTGATTGCAATAAAATTGGAACATCAAAGAAGGAAGATATCCAAGGTGATGAAAATCATTTAAAAGCAGAAAAATATCAGGAACAAAGATGACAGAAATAACTATTCTGCAGAGAGAAAGGATATAGGCATATGTCCTAAGGGTTCTGTAGTTCTTGATTTTGAGAAATCAAGAGGATCCACAGAATGCAGATGTCTTTGAGTTACAAAAATAACCAGATGTCCTTATTAGTAGAAGCAAATGTTTGCATTTTAATTTACACAAAACTATATGCAGTGGATCTCTGGAAGAAATATTGTGTAAATATGGCCACAAGAAAATTGTAGCACAAAAGGATCTGTCCTAAATACTTAATCATAAAGATTATATCTTGAAAAAGGAAAAAATTCTTTAAGGTATATGTAGATTTAAAGGCAAAAAAAAAAAGATTTATATAGATTCACATGATAGGTGAGTTTTTATTCATGACTTTCTATCCCAGTTTCCCCTGATGAATTTTTATTCCTGTTGCTCAGGTTGTTTAACTACTTTGTGTACTGTCATTTTATTTTAAACAGTGAAAACATATGCATGAAACTCATTTTCCCCCCTGAACGAATGATAGTCATCTTAGTTCTGTCAAGAAAAACAACCTACAGTAGTACATAAATGCCCCCTTTGCAAGCCAATTGGGATTTAAAAAATATTAACCCCCCCCCCAAAAAATATTAACCCACATTGTTATAAATAGATGCTGTTTGATGACTTCATTGGGATGTTAAGCAGTATAAAATGTAAAACAAAATCTACTTGAAAGGGCAAGGTATGAAGTATTTTTGTTTGTTTTTAAAATTAAGACTTTAGAGTCAGAAAACCTTTAGAGTTTAAATGGACTATAACTTTTGATATGGAGCATATTAACATAATTACAAACTCTTATATACTCAGAGTTATTGCTAAGTTGATGTTCAAACCTTTGATTAAGAAGTCACAAATCTGAATGTGTTCAGACAGCTGTGTAATATCTCTCCTATTCACAAAGCAGAGATGAGTTTTACCCTTTTTTTGTCCCCATATTTATTGGTAGAAATTTGTCCTTCTCCTATAGCTATTCTTTTTTCTTTTTATTGAATTTAATGGAGTGACACTGATTAATAAAATTATACAGGTTTCAAGTGCACAATTCCACAAAACATCATCTATACACTGTATTGTGTGTTCACCACCCCAAATCAAGTCTCCTTCTATCACCGTATGCCCTCCTCCACCTCCTCCACTTACAGCTATGCTTTTAATGGTGAAATATTAAAATGCTGTATTATGATGTATTCTATAACTTAAAAGTTAACAAAAGCAATGCTGCTCTTCATGCCCTTGCCTTGTCACTCTGGTGCAGCTCGTCTCTTCCATCCCCCTTATCAGAGTATCTCAGTACTTAGTTGAGCTTGTTTATCTTAAAAGAGCAGGAGGCAGGCTTTTAGGGAGTGAGCTACATGTTCCAGTATAACAGGCACCAATGCTGTTTGACTTGAAAAACATTTGATCTCTTACATTAACAGCCCATGTCACTGTAATAGGGACTACAGCCGGGCTGTTCAGTTTTCTGTTATTTTAGCTTTGAAATAACTGTTAGTGCTGCTCCAAAATCTTCGTGTTTAAAATTGTATATTGGCTGTCCCCCCAGGACTCGTAAGTAAACAAGGTGATATGTGTGGCCATAGGGAGCATATTTTGTTAGCTTGTTTTAAATAAGAACCTTGCCTATCTAAAGATGGTTTTTGTCTGATCCCTGAGACTGTGCTGCATGGCTTTGCTTGTGTAAATTTGCAGATATTGCAATATCTTAAAGCGTATTTTTGTTTGTTACTAATGTGTATGTTCAGTAACTATTAATTATGAGCTTTCATATTTTTTCTTGAATAAGAAACATTTATTAGTTTTCTCATGAAGCTTAACTTCAAATGTCCTGCACAATTTCCCTAAGTACAGCAGTTTGTACAGCAGTTGTTGAAAATGGTAAGCAAGAATTTAAGGGGTATGTTTGTTTAGACTTAAATGTTACTTAGCTTATTTTTAAATATACAGTTATTGGTAATTTCTGTGCCAGGAATGGTTTGACAATTGGAATCAGGTAGCAGTATTTAAAGAACAGAAAATATAATTTATATTTTGACAGTTGGAATCAGGTAAGCAGTATTTAAAGAACAAAAATATAATTTGTGTAATTAAATTAAAACAATGTTAAGAGTACCTCTTATTTTAATAATGATAGAATAGCAGCTTATTATAGTAGTGGTGGAATGGCAGTAGACAATTTTACCCCTTCCTTTCTTCCTTTCTCTAATTTCAAAAACCTAGTTTGTTTCCTATTCTAATTATTTTCTGATATGAGACAATACTACCAGGCCACCCAGCACTTTCTTTGAATTTAACCTAAAATACATCAGCCAGCACAAACATAATTGGTTGAAAGGTAGCCATCTATCTGGGGAGTTCTTCTAAATACTGAACGTGTCATGTGCTTTGACATGACATATCTGTAATATCTCTGAATACAAAAAGCATTTTGCACTAGCTGTAGGTGTTGAAGCAGAAGTGTGTTTTAAGAATGTGTGCTGTGCAAATTCTGGCTTGTGAGGTAATGACAAGTGTTTGCCTGAATAGACAATATATTTTTCCCCCTGAGGTCCCCACACACCTAGTTTCCCTCAAGCTCATCATCTCTGTCAGGTTAATCAATAGGCACCGTATGGCAGAGGGTCAGTAATCAGTGTCATCGTGCCTTTAAATCGTGTTGAAAATTTGCTTAAAGCCTGGGCCAATTAACATCGAGATGATGAATGGATGGGAAGATGGGAAGAGCCTGACGCTCAGGGGCTTTGTGAGGAGGAGATGCTCAGCTGTTGAGCAGCAGACACCAGCGAATAAAATCAGCCATTCATGTGAGCTCAGTCCACCCACTCTTAATGATAATGTCAATCTAGCAAAATATATACACATTGGAGTTGTCACGAGTTCATAAATCAAAGGAGTTTGTCAAAGGCATTCAGATTAACGAGGCAGCAGCAATAACAAGTCAAATTTGCATAGAGAATTGCTTGAATCTCAGTAAATTATGATCCTGTTTTTCATTTGATTATTTGCTAATGTCTCAAGAGGGAGAATGATTATATTAGCATGCAAAACCTACTCCAGAAGTAGAAATCTGAGGTATAGAAGACCAGCACACTATGACAATTAATCAGTTTCTGCATACTAGCATAAATGCACAAGGCCCAGAAATGAACTTCTTTTTTATTATTATTTCTCCTTGCTACTGATCCAAATGGTTCAGCTTGACAGAGACTTTATATTGCTTTAACAGTGTTCTGAATTGTGCCTGCAGGCAAGACATAGTTATGCAGCTATAACCAACCTATCCATCTGCCAACCAGATTGGAATTCTCCTATCCAAGGCTTCCATTAACCCCCACTGACAGCTCCAAATAGGATTAAGAATTTGGAAGCATAAAAAATAGTTGTTCTTTGCGAATATACACAATCCCTTTGCATTTTGAGAAAGGTTGCATCTGTAGTATTTTATAGTTAGTGTCGGACAGTGTATAGTGGGGAAAAAACCTACTTGGTATTTTTTTTACTTCTATCATAGAGAGTAAAGCAGTACTAATGAAAGTACTGTGTGTTTGGTTGTCCCTAAGAGTGCTTTCCATTATATCTGTGCTCCAGTTGGTGTATTACTAAAAAAATAACACTTCCTGAAAGCTTTAACTGGTGGATCTTGTTGAAGTTTAACAGTTTAGGGAGGCTTTGATATGGTTGTGGTTTAATAGAGTATGTCAAATGATAAACATGCTGGAGAAGCAGTGTTCATGAACACATGCCTGAAAACATTACTTTATGAGGTCCTCCCTAAAACTGGTTCTTGAGTAGGATTTTTCAGTCAATTTCTGAACTTAAAGTGGCCTAAGTTTTCCCTATTGTACCCTAGAGGATTAATTTAAAATTTTTTGAACACACACATATATGCACAGAGTGTTTTATTTATGTCACCTTTCATGGAAGAGCTTGAATGATTTTTATGTAGCTAAATTACCTTTTAACCTTGTAGAAGTATAAATTGTTTCTACTTTTGAAAACTGTAAAGCATATATTTGAAGGTTATAATTAGCTCCAAGTTATATAATAAGTTATTAGGAAAAATACTAATCCAATTACTAATTTACCAGTCAAAGCCCACTCTATGATGTTTACAACTAGCTATTAGAAATTGGTCTCAAGGATTTTTTTCCATGTGGGTTTTCATTTAACATGATAATAAACAAATGATTCCATTTTGAAAATGTGTTTATAATCTGAGTTCTAACTCACCACAATTTACCTGCTTTGCTAAAATGATATAATTTCCCTGGTTACAGAGTCCTTTGAATTCTCCCATTGAAAAATGTCTCATCGGTGGAGATGCTACTTTTAGTTTGAGAGCTAGTTATTTCATTTATAATAGATGTCTATTCAAACAGGCTCAGGCTCTGGTGCACCATCCAACCCTGAGCAAGATGCTTACTCAAAGATTATTATAAGTCATTTTGAGTGGCTTGACTTTTCGTCACTGTGTAAATTAGTTTAGTTTTTCATTTGATTATATAATCAACTCTTAATTATCCATGTCATCAGGAGTGTGTGTTCAAATAGATAACTGAAAACAGTAAATAAGCCACTTACTAGATCATGGAGAATATTGCCCCAGTCATAAAACTGCTGTTTGCTACTTTCAGACCCTCTCTAACTTCTTGTTCTAGACTCTGAGAAGTTAGTAATGCTTTGCTTATCCACAGAAGAACTTTTTCTTCTTAATCAAGAGTCTGAAAACGTTATCCATAAAGGACCAGATAATAAACATTTGAGGCTTTATGGGCCATATGATCTCTGTCATGCTATTCACTTCTGCCATTGTAATGTGAAAGCAGCCATAGACAGAAGACAAATGAATGAGGTGGCTAAGTTTCTATAAAACTTTATTTGCAAAAAAGAAACAACTTTATTTAAAGCAGGAGCTTGTTAACTCATGCTCTAAATTAATATACTGGCTTTATAAGTGGTGGGATGGTAGGACTGTAGTTGGGCTGTCATTTTGAAGTTTCTCTGCTATGAAAATCATTTTTTAAAGCTAGCTGGACAGTGTGGTATAGGGTTTTGATTATTTTTTAAGCCCTTATTATTATCTATATATTATCTAATGTGTTGTGAGATAGAGGGAGCCACAAAGACTTTGCCCAATCAGTTTTCAATTTTAGGGATAGTTAGCATAACATGCAAACATTTATCTAATGAAGTATCAAACTGTGTGGACCAAGATAAAAATGTTAAGGAATTTCCAGTAGAGTAAAATGGGGTAATTTTATGGTTTTTTTAAGAGGTAACAGTTGAAATACATTTTAAGTATGGGTAGGACTTGAATAGATTAAATCATGTTCTTGTGTTTATAATTGTAGAGTAAACTAGATTAGAATTAAAGGTTCTTCCAGCCTAAAAGTTTTAAGATCATATCACATTTTTATGAGACTATGAAGAGACTTGCTTAACTCGGTCAGAAAATGTATGTTGAGGGAAGTAATGATGTAATACAGCAGAAATTCTGGAAGGTCTTGAAAACCAGGCCCAGAACTTCATATATGATTTTATAGAAACCAAGAGCCACTAAAAGTTTTTGAGGAAAAAAGGGCTACCATGATGGTAGTGGTATTTAAGAAAGATTAATCTATCAATAGTATTTAATCCAACAAACATTTTAAAACTCACATTATATTCTCAAGCTTTGTGCTGCAACACTGGAAAATAAAGATGAAAAAGAAGCTGGTCCTGCCCTAAAAGAACTTACATTGTAGGGTGGGGGTGAAAACCTCATTCATATAGAAATATAGCATAGCAAGATCTATCATCATCATCCTATCTAATAAAAGAGGAACATGGTAATTGGCGTACGGCCGCTACCCTTCCCATTGGCTAATCAGGGAGATGTGCAAATTAACTGTCAGCCAAGATGGCGGCCGGCAGCCAGGCAGCTTGAAACGAACATGAGGCTTGCTTGCTTCAGTGATGGAGGAAACCAACGTTCCCTGCCTGCCTTGCAGGCCTCTGAGCCTGCAGTTTGAAACATTTTAACAAATATAGAAGTTAAAAAAAAAACCAGAAACCAGCTTTCAGCAAGCTGGGATCTCAGAACTGGAGTCAGAGCTGGAATTATACATTGTTTCGAAACGAAACAAACCAGATACCTACTTTCAGCAACGGAGACCTAAGAGCTGGAGCCTCAGAGCTAAAGCTGGCCCAGAATTAAAAAAAAGAAAAAAGAAAAAAAGGAGCGGTTGGGAGCTTCCGTCACCCGCCAGCCTGAAAACAGCCCTCAGTCCCTCACCCAGACTGGCCAGGCACCCCAGTGGGGACCCCCACCCTGAAGGGTGGTGTGTGACCAGCTGCAAACAGCCATTATCCCCTCACCCAGGCTGGCCAGGCACCCCAGTGGGGACCCCCACCCTGAAGGGTGTGTGACCAGCTGCAAACAGCCCTCAGTCCCTCACCCAGGCTGGCCAGGCACTCCAGTGGGGACCCCCACCCTGATCCAGGACACCCTTCAGGGCAAACCAGCCAGCCCCACTCATGCACCAGGCCTCTATCCTATATAGTAAAAGGGTAATATGCCTCCCGGCACCAGGATCAGCGTGACGGGGCAGCGCCCAAACCCCCTGATCGCCCTGTGGCTCTGTGTGTGACAGGGTGCGGCGCCCCAACCCCCTGATCGGCCCTGCTCTGTGTGTGACAGGGTGCGGCGCCCCAACCCGCCCCCGCCCCCCACGGGCCCTGCTCTGTGTGTGACAGGGTAGAGCCATAACCTCCCCATCTGCCCTGCCCTGAGCGTGAGAGTGGCGGCACCCCAACGCCCTGATCGGCCCTGCTCTGTGGGTGATAGAGAGTGGCGCCACAACCCCCCCCCCCCCCACAGGCCCTGCTCTGTGTGTGAT